CTTAGGTAAAACAGCAGTGTTTACTGTGGGGAGTCAAACCCACACCCCACTCGTAAATCCATCGCCTTACCCCCTATGCTGTGTCTCCCCCTCAATATTCCAGTACATGAATTTAAATATTCAAAAATTATCTTTACTTTTCCATTCATGTTTATTAAGATGAGTGTGAAACAAGCAAACGGTCAGCTGCCTGTTCCTTAATCTTGCAGGAGTATGTTCAGTGCAGGTAAGGTTTGCATCTGTGGCTATGTATCGATGCTGTTTTCTGCTGAGGGATGTTAGGGGCAGCAGGGGTATAATCACTTACCTCTCTTTGGTTTTGTAGCCTCGCTTTAATTTCTGTGTCCACCTCATCACTTGACAATTCAGTGTCCTACATCGTGCGAATATGGAGTCTTGGGAAAACACTTCTGGAATAGAGTACTGGATCCTTTTCTGAAGGACAGAGGACAGACAGAAAATAGCTTGGGGTATAAGATGCAGGTGGAGGAGAGAACGTGGAAGGAGGAGATGGAATGTTTCAAATACAAGGAAATATTTTTTGTGAAAAATGTAAGTTTATGCCAGTAATTTTCTTTTTGCATTAGTCATTTACAACAGTCAGAACAAAGAAATTACACATAACAGTCTAGAAAAAGGTTCTACTTCCTATCCTTTGTCATAAAAAATACATTATCAGCGTGTTACCTAAATTTACCTTCCAAGGACAAAAACAAGAAAACTTACCTATCCCAGGCAGTATACGAATTGTAAGAATATTTGTTTTCAATGGTAGAACTAAAATGTCTTAAAGCATAACCATATAATATTCTGATCCCTGGAGGAACAGGTCTTGTCTAATTTAATTGTTATTGTTTCATAGACTAAGCTGTGGTAAGCCTGCCGTCTTTTAACAGGATTTCTTGAACTCTATCTTACGTAGGTTTTGTTGTTGTGTACACTTTTAATATTAGTAATCTTTCAGCCAGTTTAAGTTGTTTCACAACTCAGAAGTCCAGGATTGTGGGTTCCAAAGTCAGAGGTGAGTGAAGACAATCTTAGTATCAAGCGCCAGAAACACAATCCGGAAGGCCAAGGTCAGAAAACAGGCCAAAATCCAGTAGTCGGGCAAGTAGTCCAGGAAAAATTCCACAAAGGCTGGAGCAAAAAGCTAAAAACAATTTGTCAACAATACTAAGCACAGCTTGAACAAAGAGCAAGGTTTAAATAGGTTTGGGGAGGGTAGGCGTGGCAGGGTAGGGACACTGGTCAAGCAGGGATTGGCTATTGCCGTCTGCTTGAGTGGTGCCTCTGCCGCACAGATAAAGTAGGCACTAGAGGTTGAGGTGCCCTCTGGTGGGTGCTGGGACTGTAACACAGTTAGGGTATGATAATACCTGTTGATGATATTAGTCTGAGAAGAGTAGGAGCAATGAAATGTTTGAAGTCTGATTTCTTTTTATTTCAATGGGAGTAAGTTTACATTTTATATTACGTATATTTTAGAAAGTAAATATTTTTCTTTTACTGAGCTGATTTGTTTTGGAAGTTCTTGTACATTTAGCTTGCAGGAAACCAACTGACATTGTGCTCTCCACTGTGATTTTTAATTCTGGATTGATTTTGGATACACATACTTTATTACTTTTCTTACATACTGTAGTGTTAGCTTAGTAGAATGTCAAAAATCTTTATGATGAAGACTCTGCCTTCCACACATTGCAGAAAGCAGTAGCATGTTGGAACAGGCTAGCAGGGACCAGAAATGACACGAAATGAAAAATGAAAAAGAAACAAAAAGCAAAAAGAAAGGTGTACTGCTGTGCATGTGCACCTCCAGGCTGGGCTTACCCTATTTAACGGGGTCCAGTCTGGAAGAGCAGGGTGCGTTAGACCAAAAGGAAACAAGAAGTGTGTGGAAAAAGGTGTGCCTGCCCCGGTGAAGATAGGTGACGGGACAGGCAAAAAGAAAAAGAAAAGAAAAAGGAAAAAGAAAAACAATGCCTTAAGCAGGTACAATCCCTCAGTAACAGTCTGTGTAAAAACTCCCCCTTCCGGGGTGTGGCCCTGCTTGTCCCTTCAGGGGGTGTCCAGTGTGCCTTTATAGGACCTGCCCAGCTGGGCCTCATCTTCTAGGAGCCGGGACAGATGGGACTACAAGGGGGGGGCGTCGCCTTTCCTCCAGGGCTCCACCTCCACACTGGCCACACCCCCGCGTAATGCCACACGTTAACCATGGGAAAATGCAGCAGAATTGTTCATTTTTCCCCCAACACATCTGCTTACGGTATTATATACCAGGGGGTCTATTAAATGTGTGCCTGTTTCAGCAATGTGCAAGGCCAAGTCCAGCACAAAATAGAACAGAATCCAGCAGTGTTGTGTAGCCATGTTGTGTCAGGTACAGTATTCACTGCCTCTTGGTCAAGGTGGCTGTTACATTTTACAGTTTAATATAATCAAGCTCTATTAACAGCAGTTCATTGTCCATCTGCTTCTTTCTGTAATATTTGCCCATCAGTTTTATTGAGAAATTAGTTTTCTGCCTCTGCTGGTCATGTAGCTATCTGTCACTGCATTTCCAGAAAACTCAACTTGCAGAAACTTTGGAAATGAAACACTAAAGCTTGCATAACCTTAGACACCTCAACACTCAGACACCTTGTGTGCGAGACTCATCATGTCTGCATTGCATACACCTCGCCTATAGAGGATTATTTTTTTGATACAACAATGAGAAGGCTGAAGCAAACCTTACTCGGCTATAAAAAGCATATTAAAACTCAGTTGAAGTGCTACAGCCCAAACTGTCACTTCTGGGTAGCGGGTGCTTTTGCTGTAGGTTTTGCTAAAGGTGGTGTAAGCTCCCACCAGTGTGAGTTTTGACATTGATTTGTATTCTAATCTTCACAGCCATCCCATTCAGATTAGAGAGGTGTCCTGTTTTTTCATTGAATAAGATTTCCATGCTGTTCTTGTACTTTGGAAAATGGAGAGAGGGGTTAATTATTGAATTCACACATTATCGTGAGTCTGTGTTCCCTTGTCATATTGTACCATTGGACAAGACCGAAAATATGCTGTGAAAAGCCAAGTTTCTCATGGAGGAAAGTACGGAGGAAGCCTCCAAACTTCCAAATTTCCTTCTCTGCCACTACTTTGGGGATTTAGCAGGGACATGAAGCTCAGCCAGAGGTATTGCTTTAACCCAGTACGGTGTCTTTGAAATGGAAACTGAGATAATGCCCAGAACTTAATCACGAGCTATTTCCTTCTCTGGGTACCTCATTAATAACAGGAGTGAAGTACACTTTTTGTGTGTTGGAGCGCCTCTGGCAGGAGATGGCCAATCCTGTTTTAACAAGACCTCCACAGGCTAAGACCAGGCATAGTCTGCAAGAGAGACTTTTAAGAGACTTGGGCTTGTAATCTATACAAGAGTGGCTCTTCTTTTTCATCCTTGATGGATTCTACCCTTCCAGGATCGCATTCAAGGAATAGAAAAAGAACTACTGTACAGCATGTCCTATGAGGGGAACATTCACTGTCTGGAAACCGAACTGTCACAACAATTTAAGCCGTTTTCAATATTTAATCTTTCGTTTTGCTTTCTTCTAGAAAGCAAAATGCGCATGATACTCTTAAAGAATTTATCAAGACCTCATTGAAAAAGCAAACATTTCCCATCCCTGTTTTTTAGTTTAGCACGATATCCTCGCTCAGTTATTTTGAACACAAAAGAACCCTGGACCGAGAAAAATCAGGAATGTGATCCCACACCAGGAGGCCGGTCTCTGATGGGCATCTGCCCAGCTATGCCAACCTAGATGGATTTCGAAGGATTAGGCACCAGGCTCCAACATTTACAGTCTTTCAGTTTGAGGGGCTGAGATTATCCTCTTATTTCCAGAATTCAGAAACAGCAGCTCTAATTAAACAGCAGGTGTACTCATAAGCGTTACTGATTTTTTAAATTTGCTCTTGTTTCATTTTGTTTGAATCTTGGAATTTAGTTCTAGCACAGATGCTGTTCATATTGGACTTTCAGGGCCTGTGGTTACCAAAGAGTGGCCAGTGGACTGACTACTCTTGTCACTTCAATTTTGGGTCCTCGATTGCAGGCCACATCTTCCTGTACAGTACAGTTGAGGAAGATTGCTTTCCTTTGTGCAGCCATTCACAAGCTTGTGGATGCTTTCATAATAAAAACAATGGAAAGACATTCTTTGTTGAAACCAGAATGTCTGTGATGGCAGTTCCAACTGGTGGTGCAGGAAAGGCTTTGATTCTGAAGGCTGTGTTTTCTCCCTTCATTGTTTAATTCAGAACATCAAGTTGCTGTTCACTTCCCAGAACTGTCCTCAATGTGTCTGCTGTCACTGATTCTGGTAAAATAGACTGCTACCCCCATCTCCCCTCCCCCACTCTTGGGTTGTCCTATATAAAGCAAGTATCCGTTTTCTCTGTCTTGCTCTCAGATTTTCAGCTGTAATACAAGGCTGCTATCTGTGTTCTCAGGCTCTCTGTTTCTACCCTGGTGTGATACAGTCATCCTAGCACTGACCCTCTCAGCTCTCCCTCTGCGCCCCTCTCTCTGCTACAGGATCCCTCTCGCACTCTACATTCTAGTGTGGAATTCTAGAGTTTCATGCTCTCTGCAGACTCGGATAAAGGGTAACTAAACAAGCTGAAGTATTACGGGAAGAGGTCTTAACTCAGAACTGGGCCAGGTTAATGGGAAGTTTGTGGCTTCAAGTCCCAGGTATGGGTTTGGCTGTTGCAGCTTTGAGAAAGGTACAGTGTGCAACTTGCTTAGGTACAGTATAAATGGAAGTTGCTTTGGATAAAGGTGTCAGTCAAGTAACAGAAGATGGAGAAAACATTCTCTCTCGAATATTAAAGATCTTCGACACCCTCAGTGCTCAAAGTGCTCATCGCGAGTGGTTTATTTTTTTCTGAAGCGGTTTCAGTGGCGCCCACCCGACGACGCGCTAGCTGGTGCCCTTGCTTTGTGCCCACAGGTGACGCGGGCCCCGCGGGCGGAGCGGGCCGGCAGGCAAGGGAGCCATTTCGATGAGAAGGCCTACCTGTCTGGCAAGCAGCTGAAGGCAGGAGAGGACCCGTACCGCGAGCACGCCTTCAACCAGCAGGAGAGCGACCGGCTGAGCAGCGAGCGAGCCATCCGCGACACGCGCCATTACAGGTGGGCAGCACGCACACTCGCACACCCTGTACTGGGCAACCCTTGGCACGGGTGAGCTAATGTCCAGTTAGTATCTTCCAATCTTTTACTTGGTTTCTGACCACCAGGCATCAGTTTGAAAAGAGAAGACTTTGTTAAAAAGAACTGTAAAATACCATTTCCAGCACCTTTTGGAAAGTTTTAGTCTCTGGGTATTTAATTATCAATCCCTCCTGTGGAGGAGAGTGACAGTGAGTTACACAAAACGAGTACAGGAAAGTTTTCACCCTCGCAAGCAAATTTTGTTCGTGCTCTTCTTGATGTCGGACATCATTTGTCAAGTGTCGGGAGTTAGATTTTCTACCCACAGAATCTGGATTGTAGGAATCGCATGTGGTGTTTTTAAATTCCACCAGCTTTCAGACGTTCTAGCATTGGCTTCTAACAGCCTGTCAACCAACATTAACATTTCGCTTAAAACCCAAGAAGTAGTAGGCTTTTCGCTGTCTGCGATGCTGTTAAAGTACTATTTTGCTAGTGAAGCTGAACAGACACACTAGCTCTGCCCACTGCGGACATCGCAGAGATTGCTGTAGAACCATTACCGTCACCTTTAAAAATAGCATGCTGTTGAATTTCCTATTGATCCTGCAGCCTGCTTTACACAAAGGCTATTTTAAGTGCTGAATTAATCTGTGCACCCATTGAATTCATCTGTCTAAAATACTGCAGCTCTGCAACTGTGTGGCTTTCTGATAAAAACATGACTCAAGACTTAATTGTGCTTTCATAGCAAATGCAGGGACAGTGCAGTGTTTCCTCATGGGCTGTGGCTAAGTGCATCAGTAATTAGTCAGATCATATAGGAAGAGACTGTTAAGATTGTGCTACTCCCCAGGAGCCTCAGATGTACAGATTCCCCACAGCACTTTTTAATGATATAATCTCAGATTCTGTCAAACCTAAGGGCGGTGCTGTTAGGAACTGACTTCAACTTTTCAGTTTTGTCATACACTTATAGGGCTTCTAGGAAATTAGGGGCTCCAGAGCAAAGTTCCAGGGATTGGTGGTTTTAATCAAAGAAACAGGAATCTTGTTTTTCGCTCCAGCGCTCTTGTCTCAAATGTGCTCTGCAGTCTTTTACTAAATTGCTGTAACTAGGCAACCTGGAACAGCAATAAGCAAAAATCTGCTACTGAACTTTGCTTAATAATCACCAATACAGCGTTTTTGTTTCAGATCTTTGTGTGAAACAACAGCATAGTGCAGGAGGTGTAAAAAACTTAATTAAGTTTAATGGTGGTTCTATAAAGTGATCTCTGCCCAGATAGAGAAATAACGAGTTAAAAAGTGTACTCGAGTGATAAATAAATTGATTGTCAAGATTTTCCATCTTTTGGCTGATTGTTATTAGCAGTCTCCAAAGATGAAGCCTCTTTCAGATACGGTTTTAAATTTAATTTTCAGATTACTTCAAAAACACTTCTACATAAAACAAATTCTTAGTTTGGTATAATGGTCCTGTTATACTTGTGTGATCTGCAATTTCAGAAACTGTTGAACCCTGGGAAAAGACATTAGAGACAATACCTTGAGCTTGGTTGGGATTGTGGTTTGTCTCTCCCTACATATAGGTATAGTCTCAGCAAAGATGAAACCCTCACAAGCAAGATGCAGGCTTTTCTGTCCATGTCAGTGAGCATTTGTAAAGATCAAAATGTGCTCTCGTGGCTAACCACACGTACAGCATTGTAGTTCAGTTGTGGATGAATTCAGGGGATTTTGCAGATACACGTGCAGTGCAGTGCGAAGCAGACAAAGACAACGAGAAACCGTACAAGCACATCTGCACCGCACTCCTCGCAGGTACGTAGAGTGCAAAAAGCTGTGCAAAAAGCTGCAGTTAAGCACACTTGGCACAAACTCTGACAATATGAATCATTCGGCTCTGGAAATCCATCCCGAGCTCCATCGAAGTGTCACATCAGTCAAGGCATAAAGAGTTCTTTTGCAGTGATGAATAGGTCCTCCTGTTTTTGATTAGACTGTTTTTTTTAAATACTTTTCTGTTTCCGAATGTGCAATCAGGTGTGTTGTTACACAAGCTGGTTTCAGCCGACCAATAAGAACCTCTCTGCACTGTAATTCCTTTCCTCCTGGTTAGCACTGAGTGTGCCGGCCCCAAGCCCCAAGCCAATCCCACTTCGATTATCTTGCCACTGTTCCATGCAATCTGCTGTGCCTTGTGGTCGATCTTTTGTATGGGGTGAAGATTTGGGTTCATTCAGATTTCCTCTCAGTTTCCCTTATTTGGCACAGAGGCACATGACTTAACAGAGAGTAAGTTGTATACAGGTGAGTGTTGTGTAAAACGCTATATCCAGAGCTCTGCCTCGACACAAAACAAATTGCTGTTGGAAATCGAGGCATGAAATTGTCCTCTGTAGCTGTGGGTTCCTCTTCAGTGAGTCAGAGCCAGCAGGACGAATCAAGTTTGTGCTGCTACTTTATGCTGGACTTAAAGAAACTGGAGAATCAATTGTCATGGTAACTATTCACCTGGTGTGGGGTATTTACAGCTTTGTTGATATTGGGGTAGTATTGGATGCCTCATTCCAAGTTCCAAAATGAAAGAGGATGAAGGACAGATTTAAGTGGCAGGGGCAATCTTCTTGCACGGAATGGCAGAACTTGTGCAATGGAAGGGAAGCTCTTATTGTGATTAACCCCACCTCAGTCACTTTTAAAGAGATGTTCCTGTATAGATTTGTGATTTACCTGTTACAGTAGAGGAATTCATGAGACCTGTAAGAATCTGCAAAAGACAGTTTCAGTAATCAGTTAACCTGGCCCTAGAGGACAGCCAATATGCAGGGTTTTTTAGGGATGTTTAACAGCTGAACGATTGCTAAAAAAGTAATTAACTGCACGTAGTGGGGAAATGAGATATTGAAGCTTTGGAAAGGTAACGTTGCCATGTTTTACTAGAGTCTTTAACTCTTGTGTTGTATTGTTTCTCTCTTTAAAGCTAATAATTGCAGTATAAGCTGAATTATTATATGCAAATGTTCAAATTGTGAGGTTCACTGTGCGTGAAGGTATTGTCAGATTGCCTCAATAATGAATGTGAATCCCCGCACTGTCTAAAAACAGTTAAAACAGTTGTCCCTTGTGGTCTGAACTGTGGAAAATCAGTCTGGTTGCATTGTATCTCGCTATAGCTTCTCCGAGAGAAATCAGACTCGTGCGTCTCCATGTCCACTCTAATCTCTAGATCATCTATTTCCCCTAATTCATTCACACTGGTCCTCAGAAAACAAAAGGATGTACATTGTGTATGAGCAACTGATCGATCACTCTCTAGCCGGAAGTGACAGTGCAAAAATTGTCATTTTCATTCTGTATGACAAACATCTGTAATAGTATTGTGTCAGTATTTAAATATATGTCTGAGAGTTTGGGGGTTTTAAGTGTTGTTTGTTATTGGTTTTTGTCACAGTAAAAGTGTTTCTCTTTTTTGGCAAGGTTACAATTGTTACAATGTTAGACAATTCAGTTCTGGCAGAAGCTGAAAAGGCAAACTGCAGATTACCTTGAAAGTATTTGTCAGGTTGCGATCTAGATTTCACTACCCGCGGTGTGCTTTGTATTTTCCCATAAGAAGCACTCAAGGACAACACATGTTTGGAGCACTTAAGTGCACGTGGAACCCACACCGCTTGGGTGCCAAGTGTGCAAAAGATTGAATCACTTGGATCTACAGCTGATGTCCTACAGAATCAAACAAGAATATTTACTGTATGAATTCATACATTCAGAGCATTTGGGAGTCTGAGTTTTATTGCACATAATCATTTTATGAGTGAAACACATGTTTCAATATACATTCATCTCTCTCTATATGAGCACAATTGGCTTCACGATTTCTGTTCATAAGCGAAAACTTGTAAAAGCGACACTAAATTCCCATAAAAATCCATGATTCATCCAAGTGCTCATTACAGGACATCATCCAGCTAAGTTTAAGTACTTTTTTTAATGTATTTGAATAATTTGTCACCCTTGATTGCTACTGCTACTTTATATTTGACAACAAATCATTTTTATGCAAACTGTTATGATTACATTTATTATGAAGCAGTTATGGGGAGAAATATTTTTTTATGTTCTCTGTAGTACACATGAACAATAAATATAACACAAACTAATAAAACTATCTTACTATGCAAAAGTTATTATGTAAGTAGTCAAAGAGAATAAAACGGTGAAAATAAAGATAGAGCATCAAGTTGCCTGGTGATCTCAATACTGTGAATTCATAGTGCAGATAATCTAATCAAAATAAAACATTCCATTGTATAAAATGTTAAAATTTGTGTTTCAATATTTTTACCAATTTCATCCACTTTTAAACTGCTTCTTCCAATTCAGTGTTGTGGGAGAGCTGAATCAATGGGCACAAGGCAGGGTACACTCTGGACAGGACACCAGTTCATTGCAAGGCTAACACAAACACACACACTCACACCGGGGCCAGCTCTGACCCCAAGCTTCTCTCCCTGTCTGTGTGTCTCATGGAGAACAGGTTGGAGTATGAAAAGACAAATTCCTAATACAAGAACTTGTATATGGCCAATAAAGCTATCTTACAATGCCACCATACTGCCATTTTTTAAATCAATAACTATAAATAATAAATATATAAAATAATAATAAATATTATTCTACACCATACTAGTTATTATATTCAATTCATTGTCCTTATGATAGTAAAGATAACAACAGCTGAGAGGGGAAAAAATAAAAATGGAAGAACAAGCTACATCCTTTGGGTTCATTTTAGCATGTGAAGTTTACTTGTATAACAAAAAATAGGTGCAAACAAGTTCTTGTTTAGTGAGGGATGAGTGTATATACTGTAGATGCCTTTTTCTTTTTATTGTATTTTGTTATTGTTATATTCTGCTATCTTGCCTCCTAGTGGGATAAGAGATCTTTAAGGAACATTTCCTAAAGCAGTCTGGTTGCGTTGTAAGACCAGTACGTGGCGATCTTTTCCCCAGACCAGACTTTTCCAAAACAATACGGTTTTGGAAATACTGCTGTAGGAAAATATTGCCATTAAAGATCCCAGGGCACTTACAGCCTTACAGGTGTCCTGTTATTCTGGATAGATTCTTCCTTGCTTACACGGTTTGGCCTATATCTATACATAAAGCAAATTCGGGACCGTTTGGGTTGAAAAGTGCTGGATGAATGAAGGTATTATCATTAGGGGCATTGCAGCATAGAGTGTAGTGTTTGGCACTACAGTTTTGTAGTTCAGAATCAATCCCAGGACCTACGAACTGTGAGTTTCACCCTCTCCCTACAACTATATGGGTTTTCTCCAGACTCGCCTATTTCCTCCCACAGTCCAATGACATCGTGATAAGATTAACTGGTGTCACTAAATTGTGCCCTTTATCTATGTGTGTGTCCTGTGTTGGACTGGTGCCCCCTCCAGGTTGTATCCTGCCTTGCACCCATTGTCTGCTGGGAAAGGCTCACTGTGACCCAGTGCTGGACTGAACAGAAAATGGAAATGTAAGGATCTAGATACCTTGCATTTCTTACACTGCCTGGAGGTACAGTGCACTTGACCATAATTGTGTTTTGCAGTAACGTCATAATGTTTTTCTTTGCAGGTGTGCGGCAGTAACCTTTGACCCTGATCTGCCCCCCACCAGCGTGGTCATCACTTTCCACAATGAGGCCCGCTCTACCCTGCTGCGCACTATCAAGAGGTAAGACAGACAGCAGCCCTGCATCTCCAAGCTCCTTCCTGAGGCGCAGGAGGAAACGATTATTTCTGTATGATGAACAGACAACAACCATCCCCACACACAGCCATAGGTCGTATTTATATCAGGTTAATTTTTATCTAGAGAGAGGCTTGATGCATCCTAACAGTTCTCTGATTAATTTAGCTGTGAATCATGGGATATTTCATGGCACGATTCTAGTAAGACACTAGTAATTATAGACCTGTTACCTGCAGTTGCTCCCTTAGTTACTGAGAAGACAGCAGGAGCAACAACTACTGGATGTTTTTTTTATACCTGTCACATTACATGATGTTTTTGCTTAAGGGGTGTCACAGTAGGTTAAAAATAAACCGAATCCGCACAAAAAATAAAGCAAAGAAAATTCTACTTATGTAATTAATTAAAAAGAAAATATTTACAGAAAAAGTCAGGCTTTGACCCAACATAAACAGGTTTTGCTAAGTAGACCTCTGCCATACTGGATAGTGAACTCCAGGGCCTAGTTTAAATACTCTAAGCCCCTCCCAGTTCCCCTCTGATTGACAGGTAGGTTTCCATTCATGTAGGGGTAAGTCACCTTTTTCAAAATGGAGGATTATATAGAAGGCAAATACGACAGAAGTCAGTTGTGGATCCACATCTAAAATATTTAAAAGCAACTGCAGCAAATAATAGAATATGTAAACAATAAAACAATAATTCATGTAGTAATGATCCTATTCTTGGCAGGTAAGTATTGTGTGTATATGTATGTGAAAGACCTTGCAAGGATGAAAACGGGGGATAAAAAGACTATATATATATAAAACTATAAATAACAAAAAACGTTTTGATATTGATATTTTATCACAATACCCAGTAAGATTTAGGTTGCACAGACATAACCAAATTGTTACCTCTTTTGATGAGTACAATTTCAGCTTCATAGAGACGATTAAGTGATATACATATTTCAGACTGAAGAAAGGCTTTTAATACAGCTAATTTATTTTCTAAATGATGGAAGCTAGTTTTCTCTGGTGCTTTAAAATAGAATTAGGCTTGTAAATTGATGTGCAGATGTGTGGTAAGATGATGTGTTATACATATATATATATATCAAATAAAACGACTAGGGAGGCTGCAAAGAACTTCATGTTATAACAAATTGGCTTAATTTCTAGTGTGTCTTTCCTGCAGACTGCAGTGGTCTGACATCCCATCCCGGGTGTATCCTGCCTTCTGCCTGTTGCCTGTCAGTATAGGCTCTGGCTCTCCCGCAACCCTGTATTGAATAATGTGGTTTCAAAAAACGGCTGGATGGCGGAATGGATGTTTTCCTACGACGCCTATTGCGTTAAAGTTAGCTTTACCCATTACAAGGAGAAACAATCCATACAGCTTTCACATTTAAAAATTATATTTAAGAAGCACATTTAAAAGACGACTAGGAATAAATGAAAAGCAATGATTGTGAAATGTTCTTCTTAATTTTAGACTTAATGCAAATGATCTACTTCTGCTTCTATCTTATATTAAGATTTGTCTTGTCTTGGCCACAAACTGGGGAAATTATGTGGTTTATACTGTAGCTCTTTGTAAAAACAAAGTATATAAATTCTGAAAAAAGATTAGGCACTGTATGCTGTGTATTTCTACTTCTTATACTGTTACCTGGTTTTTCCCTTTCCAGTGATCTAGTTTACTGAACTGCTCTGATTGCAATAGGAGAACTACGAGAACTGCTAGAAAAATTATACTGTTAATCATAGTCTGGAGCAGGTCAATCTGATCCCCAGTCTGTAACAAGCCAACTCACAAAATTGTTACTTTTGCTGTGTCTGGAGTGTTCAATCGCCTCTCTGGACCATTCAGCATAGCACATCCCAGTGAGGCACCTAGGGTGCAGGCATTAGGCTAGATACAGTATCTAATCAAGGGGAGGTTATGGGCTTGACCTCAATATACTCCTCCATCAAAGTGGACAGATGATCTTAAGGAAACTTACCCATGAAATCTGAAGATAGATATACTGTACATCTGATCTACCTCTGAACGTTATTGTGGGATTGGTCTTGTTTTTAATTTTTGGCAAGGTTTCTTTTTTTGTGTTGAAACACTTCTTAATTTAAAGGTAATTCAATTCTGTTTTTTTTTTCTGGGGTGATGCATCGTGGAAATCAGACTTCTGTACTGTCAGTTTTTTTTACATTGTAGGGATACATGATTCTGAAAGATTTGCTATAAAGTTTCAGAAAAATGTTATCTGTATCATGCAGAAGTCTTTGATCTTTCCAACATTAAAAAGAGAACTGAAAAAGATTTTAATTAAGCATCTGTTTTGCCCTCCTCTGCTCCAGATTTTTACCTTTATTTTATTTTTTCTGTCTTTAGGTTTCCAAATCTACGTGTCCTCATTAGTGATGTCACAGACTCCTTCCTGTTTGTGTTCTAGCTCATGAACATATTTCCATCTGTGTGTGCATATGTAGTTTGAGATTACTATGCAGTTCAGCTATTATATTGACTACATTTATGTTTAAGGAAAAATTGTGGAAGTCCCAAGTACTGTGATGTTTTATTTAATATGGAATGATTTTAAATGCTGAACTATGTTGCCCTTCTTTTTCTGTTGCTTCAGATCTGTCTAGTTGCATTGCCTAATAATAAATCCTCTAATGGTGTCATGTGCTAGGCTGAACATTTAAAAATGAAATCTGGTGGAAAAAAAATGTCTTTAAACTGACTGAAACTCGAATCACAGGGAATACTTTAGTGTTGCACCACCTTAAAGCTCCTCACATTTTGTTAAGGGCAACAAAATCCTTTGTACCTTCCATAAATCAGAGAAGCCTTTTTTTAAAGCTTCTATTTCTGGAGCAGGTGGTTAGGATGGAACGTGTGCATAACCACAAAGAAGAGCTGGATATACAACTGGGCATGTATATGGGCATATACAGTATGTCTTATCAAATTATTAAAGAAAGGTTTGTAATACAGGAGTGACCCATTCTATCCACTGTGGTGGGAATGGTCCAACAGATGGGTGGCATTGCTATTTGGTAGCCCTGGGGCCCTGGGTTCAATTCCAGACCTGGGGTGCTGTCTGTGTGGAGTCTGTATGTTCTTCCTGTGTTCACGTGAGTTTCCCTCAACAATCCAAAAATGTTAATTGGCTTCTAGGTAGATTGGTCCTGGTGTGAGTGTCTGGGTATCTTGGTGCTGGTGTGAGCATCTGGGTTTGTGTCTGTGTATCTGTCCTACAATGGAATGGTGTCCCATCTAGAGTGTAACCTGCTCTGGGTATGTTGTAATTATTTGGTGAAATAGTGTGTATTATCAGGGACAAACATATTTGTACTGAGCACTCTCCAAAGAACAGCTGTGAACTTGCCCTTGTCTAGATCCTAAATGCTTTTTTTTAGATGTTTAACATTGTACCCAAATGTTAGTGGTTCACAATATTAACAGTGGTTATTGATTGAGAATAAAGTAGAGATTCTAATACAGGATGAGTGCTACTTTAGAGAATTCTGATGTGACTTAAGTAAAGAAATAAGTTGCAAAATACATGATTATTTCAGTGCTCATTTGGTGAGTAATTTATTATGATCGCTAAAGATTAAGCATGTTGATTTGATTATGTTATATGATGGGTGGTGGATTTTTTTCATCCTCGTAACAAAGTAGGAAATAAAACAGCCTTACCAAAAATACCATCACATTTCTTACTAAGGGACTCTTCAGAGGGTTTGTAAACTGAACACTTTTTTCACCAGTAATGGTAATTTTTTAATGTAAAATAATTTGTTTCCTGTGTCCTTCTTTTTGAAGGGAGCATAATAAGAGATTAAAGATATTGAAAACTGTAGATGTATACCTCGAATTTTTGAATGGGAAGGTGAGCAGACATTGGTATTATTATAGAAATTGTTTATGTTAAATTCCAATTGCTTGCAGCACAGTGACTGTTAAACACTCAGTTTTTGTTCTCTTTTTTTTGGCTTTTAGGGATGTGTTAATACCACTACCACATTGGATGCTGAATGGATTGTTTATTTAATTAGTTGAGAGATGCACCTTTCTCAAACTTTACACAAGTAATACCTTGTCTGGAATTTGAACCCAAGATCTTCCAGTTGCATGTTCAGTCTAACCACTTGCTCTCGGTTGTGCATCAGGGCTGATGAACCAAACCGGTTAGTTGTGCTATTTTTGGCACTTGGTGTTAACTTTTGTCTGCTTGGCAGGGATCAAGCTTATTTCCTGTGTGTCATGTACAGTGTATATAAAAAATAATTCACCCTTTTCCAAATGTTTCTGAGACCACGTATTGCAAAGGAGAAAGATCTTGGCATAATGTGGCATTCTTGCTTTTTCTCTCACATTGTCTTGACAGCATCCTGGCAGGGAGAAGGCCTGATGGAGAATAAACCAGTTTCTGTATTTTTTGCCACTTGTATACTCGTTTGAGAGCGCTGCTAGATGTGAGGCTTGGTGCCTGGCAATTTATAATCCGCTCTTTAACCCCACACTGCTTTCTCTATCTCACAGTGTCCTGCTCCGGAGCCCACCCAGTCTCATTCAGGAGATCATTCTAGTGGATGATTTCAGCAGTGATTGTAAGTGCTTCCATTCCATTTCCTTCAGTTTCCTAATTGCAGTAATAATAATGATCAATTATATTGATATCAAAATAATAACAAAGCCTACCGCTACAGACTAACGTCTGTCACAAACATTTTTGAGGTATCTTTTCCAGCACGGAGAACTCTGTTTTTGTGTCCCCCTGCTTATGAAACTTGTGCATATCTTCGCACTGCCTCTCCATTGAACAGCTTTTGGATCGATCCTGAATGTGTGATCAGGTTAAAAAGGGTAAAACCCAAATATCAGACTCAAAATGGAATCTAACTGATCACAATTGAACTGAATGCTTCTCTGTGCGTCATCTTGGCTCCGTTCTGAGAAGAACACCTCCCGTTTCAAAGCCAGCTGACTCAGACCCTGGTCACCTGCCCAGCTGGTGTTTATTTCTGCAAGGTTCCAGACAATGAGGATTACCTCTGACACAGTTCCATCCCGAAATTAATCAAAACCACGCTGCACAATTGCTCAGGACAGCAGCCAGTTTCATGGTTAATGATGGAAACTTCCTTGTGCAGCATTTATGATAGTATTGTACCAGTCAGGACAAAGGACTCATCTAAAAGGTGGACCTGGATACCAATCTTAACAGTGCTCAGGCAGGCCACACTGTACACTAGTGCAACAGCATAAGATTGAATAACATAAATAATAGAATGGAAGACAGAACTGACACTAGTGTGGGTGGATGGCAAATGGAAAAACAATGCAATCTTAAAAGCTAGATTAATTAAAACCTCATGCAAGAAAAGAAAATGATATGAGGAGAGTCACTTATAAGTGTTCGAGAGACTTTGATAGAGCTGTGATGGAACACGGGATTAAAAAGTTCATGAGTGGGGGAAGGATTCTGTAAATCTTCTTTTGGTTGTTAAAACACAAAGGAGAGAGACTGGTGTTGCAAAACCACTCCGAATAAGATGATTCTAAACTAATCTAGGATAGAAGCATTTTATGCCAGAATATTTGTCAATCATTAACCACAACCCTAGCATTTGTTAAGGAAATTAAATGGTGTTTTTTACACACATTGTTCTCTTGTCTTTCAAAATGCAAACTCAATAAAACAGAAACAAAGGAAAGCATTTTGGTCCAAAATTGTGGAAAAAGCAGTGAGTATCCAGCTTTGTCAAAATGTGTACATGTGTGTTGGGCTTTGGTGTACTCGCCAGCTCTTTTGGAACAGCTGTGAGCTATGAGTTAGGGGAATTTTTTTTTTTATTGGCGTTGAACTAAACATGCTAATGTAAATATCATCAAATCGCCATTGACAGAAAAAAGGAAAATTCCTGTTCATTAAAGTTAAAGATTGTTTTATGCTTTAAGAATCAGTCATTGAATGCCGTCCATATTGAAAACTATCACTATTTAATTCAAATAGACTACAATAGCAATTTCACTAGGCCCAGGAGGCTGAGATTTACTAACTCACAGTGACTTGACATCAGTTGCTACAGTTCTGATGAAGACTTGACTGAATTCCTGCAGATGCAGATACAGTGTATGGTTAGTACAGGTCGTGAAGTTCCACACTCTCATTCAGTTCGGTGCTGTATGTGATATTAGTGCTTGCACAGTCACTTGCTGCTTTTGAAACGATTCAGGCTTAATTAAACTAAGATTAAGATTAAGCATGATTGTTTAAAAATGTCATAGTTCTCATTGATGGACACTACATTTGTTATGTTGAATACTGTCCAAGTCCCATTTGTCCATCAGTAAAATAAGTTAAAAGAATTCTCGAACAAGTAATATTCTTATAATAATCATTCTAATATTATTAGTATTAAAAGTGATATGCAGCTATACCTGAATCCAGGCAAAATCCAGTTGCTAAGAAGTTAAGTGAAGAACAGCTGGGGTTTCTATCAAAATCAGCAGTGTTTTAAACTAAACTGGGAAAACTGAATTAATCAAAATTAAGTGTAAAAGGATGTCATGTAATGAAAAACCAAAACCATAGAACATTAATCTTAATCTGCCTGCAATAGGAAAGAAAAGGAACAACTATTTAGCAGAGCAATCTAGTGTGATGTGATTTGGACTGTGGGTAAAATGTCTTTCTATTGCTAAATTAGTATCTGTTCTGGTATCGATACAATCCTAGTTTATTAGTTAAAATGCTACAGACTGTGTCACACTGGTGTTGAATTAGTTATTCTGAATTGGTACACAACTAAATGAAGTCTGACTAAAACTTCAATGTAAAATGCTTGTTCATCAAAAATCTGGTTATTTTTGTCAACTAAACTGAAATGATATTACACACGTTTTATTACACTAGAAGTAAACAATGACTTCACTGGACTCACTGAGTCACAAAGGACTAAACTGCCAAAGAACTTAATAAATGTGATGGAGTCTATGACTGAAACACTGCCAATGGAGATTTAAGTGAGCACTGGCACAGGCAGTAACCACTGCTGCTCGGTAATTGGATGCGAGTACCCATCTGTCCAGCTCAGATGTTACATTTCACAATTATAACATTACTCAGACAGATAAGTTCTGAGGCTTTGAAAATGCTTGAGGACATTGTTGAAAATCAGCCCCTTATGGTAATCCAGGCCCCTGTGTGAATTCCTCCAGGCTGCCAGCTCTTTTCAGCCATCTGGCTCATTTTTGCTCCACGTGTCCCATTCATGTTCATGCAGTGACACGCATGTTTACATGGGGATTAACACACTCACCTAGCTAATGGCATTAGAGCACAGCTGGAGCCCGGTGTGCACCCCCTGGAAAATCTCCTTGATTAGATAGACGGGTTATTCCCTCTCCTAGAATGAAGGACAAGGCTCTTTGAGACCTGGGATCTTTGAAGCGTTTTGTGTGAGAAGCGAACAACAAAGTGCTTAGGGTGTACAAGCAAAAGAGGTCTCTTGATCTGCATGACACAGGAAATGTGTGTATCACTGCACAGGTGCGTGTGTGTCCATACTTCAGCTCTCTGCTCTCTGTTCTCCCCAGCTGAAGACTGCCAGCTGCTCGCTCAGATCCCCAAGGTGAAGTGTCTGAGAAACGGCCGCAGAGAAGGTGAGCCCAAGGTGGAGGAGTAGGGGAGGCTTGATGAAGCCGCCAATTTGAGAGTGGGAATGTTGCCTTTCGGATGTTTTAAGATCAATGCTTCAAGCCTGTGAAGAGGAAATTAAGGGAACATGGCGATTAAGAGACATTTTCATACAGTTTGGATGGAGATAGTGTTTCCATCCATCCCTAAAACTGGAGTCGCTAAGCAATGGTTGGCTCACTTCAGATAGTGTGCCGTGGTGAATGGCATGATGGGAAGAAAAGTCTACATGGAAGGGCACAGAGGGTGAGCAAGTAACACTCAGTGAGCTGTAGGCCAGAAATGTGCCAGATGTTTTCTAACTTGAAGAAACTCGTATCCCTATTCTTCAAAATAATAGCTTATAACTGTCATCTGTGTGCGTGATTGGGAGATGCTGAAGATAACACTGAGGCTGTATTTAACACATGAAACAACCTGGCAGTGATGGTTATAAATGTGGCTGACCCTAATGGATTTACACAGAGAGATCTGTTGTAAGCAGTTTTAAGGGTACATGTCTGAAGTCAATTTCATTAATGAATTTTTTAACTGCTTCATCCAGTTCAGGATCATGAGGGAGAAAGCAACGGATGCAAGGCAGGGTACACCTTAGTCAGGATGCCAGCCAATAGCAGGGCACAAAGGGACACAAACACAGATATGCACAGAATTTCCCAGAAGCCATTTAAACTACCAATATGCCTTTGGATTGTGGGAGGAAACCAGACCACATAAAGAAAACCCCTGTGAACACAGGGAGAACATACAAACTCCACACATATAGCACCCCAGGTCCAGAATTGAACCCATGGCCCCTCTGCTGCAAGGCTACTGTGCCATCATGCCACCCCTGAAGTCTTTCGTTCCATTGTTGTTACACATGGTTACAGTGTTACGTTCTTGTTTTTATTTTTTAGAAGTGCATGAGAAAAATTCACATTCAAATGGAAAGATAATATGATTTTGCTGTGAATTTTACCGTCGTGGAGTGCACGTTGTTGATTTTAGTTGGAAAATGCATACAAATGACAGTCTTTTTGGATGCTGGATGTTCAACAGAGATTTAAATTCATTCATAAACCTACAATCATAGAAGTGGTTGATTAAAGCTAATTGAAGCTAATTAAAACAAACTACTTATCAGAATCTTTCATGTGTGCCACTTGAGCACAGTTTACTGTGCAAATTTGTTTGCCATTTATCTATTAGTGCAGTTCATAAATTTATTTGAATTTATCATGGTCCTTTGTCCCTGGAATGTCTACAAAGTGCATATTTTACCACATTGCGGTATATTCTGTATTGCTTCATTAAAGGTGATCATACACAAGGCAACTAAAAACAAATTTTAAATACTAAAGCTAGAAAGAAAATCTTTGGGATACCCCGAAGACCTATAATTTAGCTTGACCGAACACAACTCCTGCTGGAAAACCACATATTCTGTTTTCTGCGGCATTTGTTTTTTCTTTGTTTTCATGCATGTTTTTCATTATGTAGTGTTTTAGTGTTATTATTTACTGTACACTAATGAAGTACAAAAATCTGACATACAGTGTTGTATATAATGGTATTTAGCTGGTCAAGAACTGACAGTTTGAAAGAGGTTGAGTATTTTGGGGCAGTGTGGTGGCTTTGTGGCTAAGGATCTGTGCCTGTGGCTGGAAGGTTGTCGGTTCGTATCCCGCGGCTGGCAGAGGAATCCTCTTTCGTTGAGCCCCAACTGCTTCAGGGGTGCCATATAAATGGCTGACCCTGCACTCTGACCCCAAGCTTCTCTCCCTGTCTGTGTGTCTCATTGAGAGCAAGTTGGGGTATGTGAAAAGACAAATTCCTAATACAAGAAAAATTGTATATGGCCAATAAAGTGGTCTTATCTTATAGGGCAGCAAAAGTCTTTGTTATTTAAATGGCAAGAATAAATTACATGCTGGAAAAAAGCAAGAAGTTTCAGCTGTCAATCCTTTGGACTGCTTCGGTGAATTGGTTTCCTGTGACTCGTTTGCCCGTTCATACTCTCAGCTTTTCGGCTCCCTGCAGTGCCCGCCTCACCCTTCTGTATCACACCTACTGAACGAGAGCACCAGCTCATATACTGAGAGAGCACCACAGCTGGGGCCTCTCGGATAAATCTTAGCTGACAGCCTGTCACAACACAATTAATGCATTCTTAGGTTCAGAGAGCAAAAATGAATGTCACGTACAGTATGTGTTAACATAACCAAAGTCAAATTATATCGAGAGAACAACCAATCCAAGAGAAATACTGCTGTCTCCTTTCAGATTTGTGTCTCTTGGGGATAGCTTATGAAATTTACATAGTGGCACAATGCTGTTTATGGAGCTTCCACATGAGAAACATTCTGAAATTGTTTATTGAGGCGTTGACCACTGTTGGAGAAATGTTTCCCCCGCTTCCCCTTAAAAGACGGTCAGGAGTCTGTCTCAGAAGTTACAAGTTTTTATTTCATGCACATGGAAGAGAAACACGCATAGATGTTCGGTGTATTTTTCTCAAAGTAATTAAATTAGAACAGTCCTTAAATATTTTTCTGTTATTATTCATGCTTCCCTGTGCTTACAAGATTGGCAGTGTTCCAAAATCACACACATCTTCCTACCTCCCCATTTGCTAAAGATAACTTCTTTTAATACAATTGGTTACTTAGGTTCATAGCACACATTCGTATGTAACGGTATAGAATTACATAGTAGCCCTTGTGTCCAGCATTCTTCCAATCCAGTTCAAACCAGTTCTGAATGTCCACTCTATGAAATATTGCATCTTCTGCAAGAAAAGTGTGTACAAAGTTCACAGAGACCCTCTCAGCACCACTAATTATTCTGATTTTCAACTGTAATCTACTATTAGATTTGAAATGTGTTATCTTTACATTAAATACATATTTTTTTCACATAGGACTAGGAATGTACATTGTCCCCACCATAAGCAAACCTAGATCTGTGCGCACTCTCTTGCTCTTTCTGTCTACACCGCTGGTGTTACAGAAATCTGTGATGCTGCTGTTACTAAAGCCGCCTGCATTAAACAGATGAGAAAACAAGTTAGCAAATCCTGGCAAGTGGCAGTATCTAGTTACACGAGCTGGTGAGAAATTAAATTTCTCAATAAAAGACAAATAACAAACATCTTAACTGACTGGGTCAGGACATAATTAGAAACAGATTTTCTTATTATTGCTTTTGGTTAAAGTAATTCTTCTTGAATTTCTACATGCAGCGAGGAAATCAAATGACGCAGCATCTTATTTTTTTGCATGGTCTGAGGTGCACGGATATTATGTTGTTTTTTGAATGGAAGTTAATGAATTCTTACCTACATAAATCTGATGGAGAATATGTCAATGTCAATGGTCTCCAGTGGCTCATTATGAGTTACAAGTTGCAATGTTTTGTTTTTTGGAGGAAGTGTCTTTTCCAAATGAACTGATGGAACACCCTCATAATTAACACAATTACCAGGAAAATTGTGTTAAATACATTTTAAATTCATGCAAGTGTGATAAAACTTAATACTTTATTAGATTGCATAATATGCCTGAAAGATTTACACAAGGCTGGAAACAGTGTGAAAATGTGATAAGTAGGAGTAGGATAAGGAGGCAGATTCTGGAAACTCAAGAGCTCCCTAAAACATAGCAATGAATCGAGATGCTGGAGGAGGAGCAAGGGAAGAGTTGGGTGAAGGCAAGAGAAAGAAGAGAGGAAGAAGAAATGAAGAGATCGCATTTGTTTGAGATGAGGCCGAGGTGACGAGAGACCAGCCAGGAGAGGCTGTTTCAGGCACTTGAGTATCTTCAGCTTGTCGCTGTGGAAAGACTAGTGAGGTGTCCATTGTTCAAAACAACGCGTGGTGTGGTGGCTCTGTGGCTAAGGATCTGCCCCTATGGCTGGAAGGTTGCTGGTTTGAATCCTGCAGCTGGTAGAGGATTCCTAGTCCATTGGGCCCCTGAGCAAGGCCCTTAACCCCAACTGCTCCAGGGATGCTATATAAATGGCTGACCCTGTGCTTTGCCCCCAAGTTTCTCTCCCTGTCTGTGTGTCTCATGGAGAGCAAGCTGGGGTATGTGAAAAGACAAATTCCCAAATACAAGAAATTGTATATGGCCAATAAAGATCTTATCTTGCACAAGCTCCAGCTTTTTGGGCACCCTGCCCCTTCCTTGCTCTATCTCCTTCTCTCTGTGCCCCACAGGGTTGATCCGGTCGCGGGTGCGAGGGGCAGAGGCGGCCACGGCTTCCATCCTGACCTTCCTGGACAGTCACTGCGAGGTGAACACCGAGTGGCTGCAGCCCATGCTCCAGCGAGTGAGAGAGGTACTGCTTGGACAAGCCCGTTGCTCCCTGGTCTTCGATAGTCTCCCAGCGCCCACTGGACTACTACCAGAGACCACTTACACCCTGTATATAACTGATATGTTCCAGTTTTGTCTTTAAAATAATTTTCTCTCAGTAACGTTCTGTACTTATTGAAGTACAGCATATTGCCATATGAAAATGAACAGAAAATGTCATAATGCTATAAACACCACACTTGGAGCAGACCTGCAAAATATTTTTGTTTCCTACAATGAGCTCACCATCATGAGGGGGAGGTACAGTATGTCAGGTGTATTGGTTTAGGCTCTCCTAAGCCAAACTTATTTATCTAGAAGGAAGCAATACCAGCAGTAATTAGATATTCCCACTACCTGTGCCGAGATAGGACACAGCAGCATGATAGTTTTTTTTATTTTATTTTTTTAATTTTGAAACCAGCATTCTCATTGTACAGCAGGTGAATTTCTATCTTATCGAATGTAATTATAGGAATAAATCATGTTTATTACATTCAATACATCCAGGATATGTCATAGGAACTCTCATTATTCTGGGACGCTGTGAAAGCCTGTCTGGTCCGTGATATCTCCCAGAGAGACCACCGACAGCTGGGGCTGAAGAAGCAGCTGTCTGAGCAGACCACTTTATCTCTGCCCCTAGCTATTGCAGAAAGGCCCAGCATTCAGAGCCATGCCGGGCCCCTCTCCTTATAGCTGTTTAACTCGCAGTGCTGTACCGTATTGAAAATGAACAGCCTGCCCAACCACAGCAAGACGCTTAGCTCAAAATGGAACAAGCCCACTGACTGTACAGTAAGAACATTTGGCCCCAGCGAACCGCTGATAATTACACTGTGGACTGGAAAATGTTCGGAGTAAACCAGATATAGTCTTCCTCAAAGATGCAATATCTGCTCTTCCACCCCTGGAAAAGAAAAGAAAGACAATTTGTCTGTTTAAAATATACACTTCTGCTGATTGTCATTTTACTGTGGACATTTAATCAATGTTGCAAACATCTTCCATGTTTCCATGTGTGTGCTTGTGTGCATTTGTTGCTTTGATGTGCACAGCAGAGTGAGCTGGAAAGTGCAAGCTATGTAATTTGACAGAAGTTAGAGCAGAAGAGCTACAGGTCAACAATGCAAGCTGTCATAATGTTGTCATATAGTCTTTTCACATGATGTGAACTTAAGATTTTCAAAGATAAGAGAATATTTGTGAGTTGTCATAAACGATATAAGCCAGTCATAAGGCCTGAAACCTCTTTGGATTGAGAATCTTCCTTGTTACCCTGGGCTGTCCACACTTATGATAAACCACATGTGCATTGCTCAAAAGCCTCCTTCCAAGTAAATGTTGAGTGGCTTACTGTTTGCCCTAGGGATAAGGTCTGAGGGATGGGCAGTGGAGTCTGTATAAGAACTTACTCTGCTTACAGGGGATTGTGTAATATCATCTTCCCGCACCAAGGCGTTTCCTTGGCAACAGGAGACCACAGCTCAAGCACAGTGTTGTTTCTTCATGTCCTATTGCACAGCTATAACCTAGAAGACACAATGGGCCATTAAGTATAGTCTTTTTAGGATTTGTTTTTATTCCCCAGCTTTTTTAGTTCCAAAGACAAAATAAAAACTAGGGAACTGGCCTAATGGAGGCGTGAGAAAGTGTTGTGTGTTCATTGTTTTGCAGTAGCACCACTGTGCCAGCAGGGCAGTGCTATTGCACCGACACACTTCTCCCGAGCTCTGTTTCCTGTTAACTCCTCTCCTGCACTTCCTGGTCTCCTTTCTCCCCAGGATCACACGCGGGTGGTCAGTCCCATTATTGACGTCATCAGTCTGGACAACTTTGCCTACCTGGCTGCCTCAGCAGATCTCCGAGGAGGTAGGTCTGTGGGGCCGTTCAGTTTCTCACAGAACGCACAGACACATTCTTCCCAGAGAGCCACTAGTCAAACTGGAATAGCACCCATAGCTGCTGTCACGACGGCCAATTTGAAGAATGAGTAAGGCAGTTTTCCAGTGTATAAAACATGAAAACATTAGGCCTGCACAAATCATATTAAGTTAAAAGCATCATATAATAGTGAAACAGCAACACTATGGCAGGCACCTACAGCAGCAGACGCGCTGGTCCAGATTTTTAATAATAATAATAATAATAGCTTACACTTATATAGCGCTTTTCTGGGCACTCCACTCAAAGTGCTTTACAGGAAATGGGGACTCCCCTCCACCACCAATGTGCAGCATCCACCTGGATGATGCGACGGCAGCCATAGTGCGCCAGAACGCTCACCACACATCAGTTATCAGTGGGGAGGAGAGCAGAGTAATGAAGCCAATTCATAGATGGGGATTATTATTAGGAGGCCATGATTGGTAAGGGCCAATGGGAATTTGGCCAGGACACCAGGGTTACACCCCTACTCTTTTCAAGAAATGCCCTGGAATTTTTAATGACCACAGAGTCAGGACCTCGGTTTTACGTCTCATCCGAAGGACGGCGCCTGTTTACAGTATAGTGTCCCCGTCACTATACTGGGGCATTAGGACCCACATGGACCGCAGGGTGAGCACCCCCTGCTGGCCCCACTAACACCTCTTCTAGCAGCAACCTTAGTTTTTCCCCAGGAGGTCTCCCATCCAGGTACTGACCAGGCTCACACCTGCTGAGCTTTAGTGGGTTGCCTGTTGTGAGCTGCAGAGTGATATGGATGCTGGCCTTATATTATATTTATTACTATTTACTATATATGTTCCAGCCCCCACCCTGGCATGTCCACCCTTCACTGAGCAGCACGGGCTGACCACACACTGCTTTCACTCCTCCTTATCCGTTCTGTTTGTATATATCCTCTGTCGCTCATTTGCTGAAAAGATTCGTATAGACGAGGGTTTTCATCCCTTGCTGATGATGTTTTTATTGAGTGTTAGCAGAATGTGATTGGTATGTGACCCCACATTTGTGTTCTAGTGACTGGAAATGTAATTCTTTTCGATCTCATTTCTTTGTTTTCAATCACACGCCTTGTATTGTCCACCTCACATTCACATCGCATTTGTAGTTACTTTTTTGATCCAAATGAATATTGATTCTTTACAAAGCCATTCTTTCTGCGTGTTAGATGAGTAGGAAGAAAGGGATTGGTGTGCGTGTGTGGGCACATTTAAAGGTCAAGCGTAGAAAAAACTAATCGAAAAAGGACTTTCTATAAATAAGATTGCATAGAACTCTTATTGCACTGTAAAAACTTGGTTGTTCTGGAAAACAAGCATTTGTCATTCCACATGAGAGTTAGAAAGTACCAAATCATACATAATAACATGGACAATCGTGTCAAATGAGTAACAAGGAAAGTATCTTCCACATTGATTCATTAGTCCCAGAGGTTGCTCAGTGCCATCCTGGGAGAAACAAATCAATGCACATCCACCTCTTAAAGTGTGGAGATTCTTCATATCACACTTCTGGCCCCGGTGATGGAGCAGAACTTGGAATCTGACAGAGCAACGATGCAGTGCTTACTGACTTCAGTACCAGGGTTAGACATCCCTTTTCTAAATCAGCATGATCTTGTTTGAGTTTTCTTACTATTTTTTAACAATACAAAACAATGAACAGTAGTATAATAATGAAAAGTGAGAAATGTTTCCTTTCAGTTGGAAGACAATGAATGAAGGTTAACTTCTCTCACAGTAATCCAGGGTTGCACACACAGCATACAGAACATTGGCAATTCACTGCTGCTCCTGCCTGGTATACATCATTTAAGGTCTTAACTTTTATAGACTCAATTGTGTGCCAGTAGAGCTCAGACAAGCTGTTTTCTGCAGGACTGAAATCTGGCAGTGTAATAGACACTTTAGTGTTTCTTCTGTGCGTGTTTGACTGGAGTATGCGTTACATCACCACCGAGCAGACGCTTAAACAAATACTCTGAAGTCATCTTTGGCCAGTTTTTTTTGTTTTTTGACAAAACGGATTTTGTTTGTTTTATTTAAATGAGTTTCAATTATTATAATACAAGACAAACTCAAAGAACAGGCTGTGGGTTACTAACATCTTTAATATTTTTAAAGCATATGTTGATATTGGAGAATATACCTGTTTTAATTATACAGTATATAATTCCTAGTTTTTTCTCATCCTTTTAAACTCTAGCAGCAATCCTTAACAACTGGAGCAGCCAATTGCATTTTTAACATTTACTACTAAAGACACACTTTGTCTTGAGAAACAGCGTGAATATACACACAAGTGTGGTTTAAGGTACCACACATAGCTCTCCACTTTGTTCTGCACTGTGATTTCTGGGTCTTAAACAGGAATGTTTGACCTATAATCTTAAAAAAGGACATTGCTACTGAGGTGCACAAGTATAAAGCTAGCAACACAAACCACATTTACTGCAGTAAACATGGGGTCGATCAACCAAATCACCCCCCACTTTGGTCTGGCAGGGCTCAGCTGGATATGTGTCACATCTGGGGGCAAGCAGGCACACATAATTTTGTAGTTCAGAGGTTCCTAGTTTTAGTCCAGGTTGTGTCTCCGGATTACAAAATACATCCTGCACAGTTGTTGGAGTTCTTTTTTTTCATTTGGTACCCCCAAATAGTATGTTATTGTGCGAAATGGACTGAAGTTAATTAATAATATTGCTTTGTCAATAGAAAAAGTTGCTTGTTTACCACTTAGTGGTTAGTCTAGTTATATGAATACGTTTCAAAGCCGGTGGCTGCAAAACAAAAGATGCTCCACCTTTTCTCTCTCCAAATAAAACCAATTTGAAATCCCAAAACTCCATGTGTAGCCTACATGAGTAATGTTTTAACACTCTTTTTGTCCTTGCAACTCAAGCTGGATCTTCATTCTCAAGGGAAGCCACTACCTTTGAAAATCTCCCTTTTAAAATGGATTAAAAATAATTTAAAAAACAGTTGGCTTTCCCCTCCAAGGAATTTCAAAAGAAGTCATAGATTTAAGATTGATCCGTGACTGATTTAATGGTTAATTTGCTTTGACCCAAACGAGTTGAAGATCTTGTACGGCGTGTGGGTTTCAGCAGGCGAGGAAGAACGCACTTACTCTAATGTAATACTAAGCGGGACTCCATGAAAGTCAAAGAAAGTTGTTTTAGTGCTGATAGCTTTCATGATCTTTAAAACCAACAAAACCTGAGACCCAGCTAAGCATTTCTGATTGGCTTGGGTTTTGTGGCCAAAGAGTTGATTTGGTGTACCAAGTTGTGGTATATCCCTTGAGTTCACCAGCTCATCTGGAAATAGAGTTGTTAAGGAATCCTAGGAAGGAGGTTTTCAAACACCTCCCCTTCTTGATACTCTCAACTCCATCCCTCAGCACAAATTTAGAGGTGACCTTGGCATCCCCTTAATTCCTGAGAAGAATGTTTACTGGAAGACCATTAAGCAGATGAAAAGTAACAGGCCATCCAGAGGTGATGGTCTTCAAGTGTCTTCACCACTCCACTCCTCTTCAGGATCGGGAATGAGGAAATAATCTCATTGATGCTGCGATTGTGACAATCCTCCGGAAAATTGAGAAGTCCAGCTGGAAGTTACTGTATAGAGGGAACAACGGGCTTTCCATGAACAGAAAGAACCTCAAGAGAACCTTCCTGAACTGGCTTCTTCCACTTGTTCAAGAGCTCCTCCCAGAATGTCATTATGGGTGTAGGCCATAAAGAGGCTTCACTGCTCACTAGGTATACTCAGTAATCTCTATCTATGACCTTTGTTGTCCTCACAGAAACCTTCAACTCCATCAACTGAGAAGTACTGTGGAGGACCCTCCCGAAGTTAAGACCCCTGAAATTAGTTATTGTTGGTTTTCTTCTGCATGGAATATAAGATGTTAAAGTCTGCTAAAGCTATGTACTGTATATGCTTCATGGATTGCTTAACATTAGCATAGCTCTAGGGATAACAAAAGCCAATAAAAAGTTCCCAGTAAAATAATGCATGAAGAAACTATTATATTCCTTGTGAGCCCTTCCAGCACTGCAGGACTCTGCTTAGCTTCCAGCTAGAAAAAGCTTTTCAGCAGGACATCAGAGTTGGACTAATTAACCAAATCAAGCCAAACTGCTGCAGAGGTTTAACTTCTGGAGCCTTTATTCCCCAACAGAATCTCTTCTTGAAGTGCTTTATAAGTGTTCTAGTTTTCTTAAACAAAGAGAACTCTTTATTAGTTGCACAAATGTGCAAAAAACAAAATTGTTAGAAAAATAATAGTGATGTTTTGACACCCCAAACCAACTTCCATAATGAAAATACAGAATGTGAAAGCTTGAAATTGTTTCGGAGTTAAAAGACTCACACAGGAAACCAAAGTTATGCTTTCTGAAGTGGTCTGCAGTAACAGTAGTTTCAGTATGTTTAAGATCTGAATGGTGAACTTTTACGTTTGCCTTCTAAAATCTTTTCCTCCCATTAACCGAACTGCACTTCATTCACCTTAGTGTTTTCTGTAAAGGCACTATATATTTCAGCAAATATCAAATATTCAGCAATACTTTGCAGGCGCACTTTATTTTATTAAGTTTTCTAAGGATTTCTATTAGGGCAGTTTTCTTTTTTCTGTAATGTCACTTGTGCTCCCAGATTGTGTGATCCTGTCAAGTGCAATGTGAACCGCATCAAGAGCTATTTGCTCTGGCTACAGAAATGCAATACTGTGGTTGTAGGTTTAGCCATCAAATATATAGTACATTTTCAAACATCTCTGGCCAGATCAAATCTTTTGCAGATTTGCAGCTCAGGTCTTTATCCCATATCCAGTATACTGTATAGTCTCCTGCTGTGAAATTATTGTGTACTATTGTGTAATCATGCTGTGTATGATTTGGTCAGAAAGGATGGGAAAGCACATTTGTTTTCCTCGATATTTTATACTGGCATTATTTAAAGAGCAAAAGAAACTGACTCGATGTTTCAGCACAAAGTCTGAAGCAAAGAGTATGATAACTATTTAAGTTTAACTATTACAGTTGTGTATTTTTTGGGCCACAAATAAGTTAAACAGTATCGAGTGTATAGTCCCAAATAAATTAATTCAAATGCCAATCTCAATTGCTCGGTAACAACGCTCGGGTAAAGGTGCTCACCATTTTTAGCAAAATCCCAAATAATATCCATTTAAACGGGCATACATGACACTTAGTTTAAGATAACTAATTCCTACTGCTTTTGCTGTCTTGGATCTACAAATTTGTACTGGCAGAAAATCATGTGAACCAATACACTGAAAAACCTAAAATTCTAGAGATTGGAAAAGTAGGCTTTTCCCGTATTTCCCCTGTTACTACTGTATATTTTTATTTTTCATTTTCCTCCCCGTTTTCTTTATTCAGAAGAGTTTTCTTTAGGCGTCATGTTTCTGCTCACTAAGTTGGGGAAAATAGAAACCTCTAGACTCTAATGGAGAGGTTAAATAACTGTCACATAGCTGCGTCCCATCAGCCCCATCCTGACATCCATCGGGATCCATCACATATAGGGTGGTCACATCCAATTGGTCTGTAAAGTGAAAATGTGTTTTTTGAAGACAAAATACAAAAAAAATATACATGCTTTCCCTTGTCAGACAGCTTCTGTTGTTCATAGTGCATGAAGATCTTGGCTTAGATTTATTTATGATTTAAGAGGGTTGTATAAGAATCTTTACCATTGCTGGATTTTGGGTTCAGAGCACTTGTTTGTTCTCTGTGTTGGAATTCAATATTGCCAGCCAGAAGGTAAACAGCTGTACCATATGTGAGGGATCCTCTGCAGTTTTCTGAGCTCCATTCAGAAGCCGATAGTGGATTTATTTGTTTGCTTACCATACCATGCTATACCATGCTATTGTATTAAAGCATGGTGTTTAGCTTTTTGAGTAAAAACACATTTTCTTTGACATTTTGACATCCTTCTTTTCTAGAATATATAGCCTTTAAAGTGGTGCATTGATTGAGCAGAATTGGCATCAAACCACAAAGCAGTACAGAAGATGAGATTTAAATCACTTATCTTAGGCATGCTTTTGAAAAAAGTGGTTTTCATTCCAGTGTGAGTGTCTGTAAAACTGTACAGACCCCCTCTGTTTTTAACAGTAACTGATATCAAGACCAGCAGAAACGGACAGCATTGCAGAAGAGCATTTTACATGCAGCACAGAAACCCAGTGTAGATGGAGGAAGTGTTTTTTTTTTTCATTTAATCACTTCTGTTAGCCTAGACAACAGCACATATGGTTTGTGTTCTACTGTTGTTGAATGTGTACAATGACAGGACAGGCATTTCATTCAGGGGCCTGTTGAGCTGGCATGTCTTCTGTTTTGCAAAGAGGTGCTGTGTTTCCCCAGAGACAAGGAAAATAGGAAATAGTATTTTAATAATACAGCATAAATTGCTGCTAAATAACAGCTGATTTGGCAGTTATTTTGTCATAGATGGGCAAAGAAATGACAAGGAGCTTATGTCTCCACTATACATGTGCTCTTAATGACTATGGAATCAAGCGGTGAGTCACTGCAGAGTCTGAGTTTCTTGAAAAGCCTCCAGGGCTGTGTATCTCCGTGACCAAGGTGAAGATCACTGGCACTGACCATTCAAGACATAATGCCCCTAGAGAGAATGAAATAATCCACCTGTCTCTCACATTTGAAGTTAAAACAGTAATAAAATTTTAATTTGATTCTCACCCACAATCTGAAGCGAAAGAAACAGATTACCAGCTCTTAACTAGCAAGTTAATTGCTCTTACACAGACTTGAATGTCCAAGCTGCAGTTGGTCCCTTTCTTTTTTGAATAAGTTTGTTTTGTCCTACCAGTGAAAGAGAAACTGAGGATAAGCAGCAGAGTAATCCAGGTCTTTTGGTTTTGGGTGGTAGAGATCTGCAACAGGGAGTGGCCATTTTTCTTTCTTTGCTGGGCTCCAAAAGTTTTCTAACTGCGTGTCCTGGTGTTCATGTGGCTGACGACCTCCTTTAATCCCAGGGTTTGACTGGAGTCTGCACTTCAAATGGGAGCAGATCCCCATTGATCAGAAGATGTCCAGGACAGATCCCACACAACCAATAAGGTAACTCTGGCTTCGGATAAACCTCCTCTTACTGTGCTGTGCTATTGTCCTGTGTACAGTTACCGATTTTGAGCTCAGTCACTGAACTTATTAGACAGCCTTATTAACCTGATAATTTTAATTGCCCCGACAGAACATGTCTAATCCTGTTCTAAAATTCAGATTTATTCAGATTCTGTGCACTAAATGTTGAAATGAGGTTAATGAACTCGGACTGGAATAATTTAGTAATGATATAGTCACGAGGCTCTTTCAGGGTAGAAGTCTGTTCTTGTCTGAAAATGAATTAAAAATTGGCGAGAACTGTTTATGGTATGCACCTTATTACAATGTTAATGTTAATGGGGTTAATAAATCATTCAAAAAAAACAGGATTTAGAGAAATTCAGTAAAAGCAGGTGTTTTGGCATTTAAAGGGCTGAGGTGCATGATATCAACTTAACAGAAAACTATGAACGGTGTCTTAATCATATTCTTTTTTCATACAAACACAAATGTACAGAAAAATATTTAAGAAACTAGTCTTCTATGATACCTAAATCTTTCAGTTTATGAAGTGCGTAGTGTTATGCCGGGATTGTAGGTGGAAAGAAAAGGGCACAGCAAAGTAATTGTCCTCAGAGTCCGATTAGTGGTGAAGATTGCAGAATTTATTATGTGATTCGGTGATAACAATGCAGTAATGGGAAGCAGAATGGAAAATGGCAGGTAGCTGAGATGTGCAGGGGAAGCAGAAAGGAAAATGGTAGGTAGCTGAGATGCGCAGGGGAAGCTGTTGAATCTGGGCTGGAGACAGGAGGGGATGATAGATAGTTAGCGAGTGGTAGCAATTCAAACAGGAACCAGAAGGCTGTGAACAGGGAAAAACTTTGAAGTAACTCCTAGAAAACCTGAAACAAAAAACACACATTCTTGTTAATCAACTCAATGTCAGAGCCCTGGGGAATGGTTCCTCAGGGTTTAAATAGTGTGCGAGGTTCTTAACGAGCTTGATAAGCCCGGCCTGATCTCGTTGGAGATGGCCCTGATGAGCTCCTTGCACATGAATACGCTGTGGTGATGGAGGGTGCTGATGCAGGAGGACTGGAGATCATCAGAGCATCACACATTGCATATTGTAATTTCCAAATCTTAACTCATTGTTTAGTGAAAGTATTGAATATTTTTAGCATACGCTAAACAAGTGAAGAAGTGCTGTTGCGTTAAGTTCTATTTGTATTGTGTAGCAAATGTCCCAGTGCCGTTTCCCTGGGAAACTCTCACCCTGCTCTTCCTTCTGCAGGACCCCAGTGATTGCAGGCGGCATCTTCGTAATGGACAAGGGCTGGTTTAACCACTTAGGACAGTACGACACGCAGATGGACATCTGGGGCGGGGAGAACTTCGGTCAGCAGCCTTGTCTTCTGTGTGTCTTTCATTGTCACACGTCTCTGCTGACACATGGCACAGAGGAGGAGTGTGTGTTAATGGAACAGTCACGTGCGCAGGAGTAAGGGTTAAGGGTTGCTGAGCCAGGTGACAAAGAAGGTCCCATTGTAGATGTGGCTCCTTATAGTTAATAAAGTGTATACTGAGCTGACTTTGACAGAAGGTCTCAGGATTGTGAGCACTCGTGATAATTCTCTGTTCAAGACTAAGGTTCCCTTAACCTATGAATTTCACTTCAGATGCACCATTTCCCTGACCTTAGATGTATTTCTAAACCACCAAACATATAGTGAGTGATGCGCTAATGTACTCACAAGAGTGGCGTCTTCTGCGGAAGCTTAAATTGCAATGCGTTTTGCATTTATTTGTATTCTGCAATTCTCTCTCGTCTGCCTGTCAGAGTTGTCGTTCCGAGTCTGGATGTGCGGAGGTAGCCTGGAGATCCTGCCCTGCAGCCGAGTGGGCCACGTCTTCAGGAAGCGGCACCCCTACGACTTCCCAGAGGGCAATGCCCTCACCTACATCAAGTGAGTGTGGCATGCAGGAGCGATGACGCTGGTGACGCCTTCCTAGCAATAGTGGAGGAAATGGCAGCCAGTGCTTTCTGCAGTTCAGTGCTCCCATGATCCTTTCTTCTTGGCATCCTTAAAGGGAACTAAGAAAGGCTGTGGAAGCACTATGCAAACTGTAATGAACATAGGTAAAGAGGATGAAATAATTCACTGGACTTGCAGAGAAATTGCATGAGACATTCATAATGGGATTTTCCTAGATCTAATCTGCTTTGAGGTGCCAAATGATATTAATGACATTTTTTCTTGTGTGATTTTTTTATTGATCATATTCAGCACAATTATTTCTGGATTGATCTTTCTAGATTTTAGAGTGCTTCTGCTTTTTTTTTGCCCTATTGTGAAGTTCTGGGTTAATAGATTGCTTTGATGTCCATCCATCATTTGCTGCTCCCGGAATGAATCTTTGTGGTTTAGG